GTCTTCCTTTCGCGTCTTTTTGCTTTTCTGTGTTTTTGACGATCATTTCCTTATCTGTGTTTGATTCGATCTTTAAAAATCTAATCTTTAGTTGTTGATCATGAAAAAGGAAAGTTTGAGTTGAATTTTGAGATTTGAGCACCTGAAGGGAAAGATAAGATTTTGTGGTTGTGGAAATCTTGCACTAACTCCTACATTAGAAGAAAAAGGGCAGTGACAGAGTTCGTAGGCTCGAGACAAGGAGAGAGAGGCAAGGAAAGTTTTCTGTGCACCTGAGCAAAGTGATACTAAAGTGGCGGTGAGATGCTCCATCTTCGGTGGTAAGAATGTGGAAAGGGACGAAGATCTGCCGTTGGTTTGAAAGAGGTTCAAAAAGAGAAGGAGAGAATGTAAGAGTGCCGACTGAGACTCAAAGGAAAGGGATTACTGCCTGTTATGGGTATTCTTTGATGGTGGGCATGAGTCGAATCTAATTGATATCCATTGGAAAAGTGGGATACCCAACAGCATGTGAGAAACTATTGTTGGGAAGAATGAGGAGAGCATCTGTGACTAGATCTGCACCAATGGTATGATAAGAGTTTTTTCTTTTTTAATTTTTTAGTCCTTTGATTTATATTTTCTCTTTGGTTCAAGCATGTGGGAGATCGATCATCTCAGTTATTGTAGGATCTATGTGTTGGGTTTGCATCTCTCTTGCTAGAATTGGTTGGTCAATCGATCTTGTTTTGTTTGATTTGGTATGTTTGTGATTGTGTTTTACCTTTTGTTTCTAACTCTAACTAATTCCCTTTGAATTCTTTTACACATTGTTTTATTATAGTTCTGCACTTGGGTGTATTCGTGTTATTATGTTGGCTGTAATAGGTGATTTCTTTGTTTTTGTTCTTTTACTTGATTGTAATATGTTATTTCTTTGTTTTTGTAGTTTTACCTATAATATGCAATTTATCTGTTTTTGTTATTTTACCTTGAGTCTCTCTTGACTATAATAAGACATCAGGATGGTTGCATATTAGATAATAACATAAAATCTGTTCAGGGATTTATAGCCGGATATCGAGGAGATGAATAAGGAAGTCAATCAATCAACATTAATCTCTGATATAATCTCTAATACTTTGCTGGTCATACCAGTAAATGCATCCATACCAGTAAATGCATTCCCTGTATAGAATGAATCACTGATTTAGGCTTGATTATAGCTGACAGTTTGTATATATGTATATTGCAATCACAATGAGAATGACAAGATTTCATGCGCATATCATTGCCATTCATACTTTGATTTTATCATGGTATCAGAGCAGTGAAGGTTCAATTGACAGCAAGAGTTTGCTGCAAACAATCGACTTCGACGGCAAGGTTTTGCTGCGTTCAACAATCAACAATGACTGACACTACAGCCAAGATTGGATCCAAAACGGAAAAGAGAGAAATAGGTATCCTTAAGACAACAGATCCGGATTCACCCTATTTTCTCCATTCCAGTGATGATCCAGGGAGGGTCTTAGTCACGACTCCCTTGACCGGGGATAATTACCACACGTGGAGAAGGAGTATGCAGAATGCCTTATTTGCAAAGAACAAGATGGGGTTTGTTGATGGGAGCCTTAAGAGACCAAACGCAGATTCCCCAAAGTATCAGGCTTGGACAAAGTGCAATTCTATGGTGCTTTCATGGTTACTTAATGCTCTCTCTAGGGACTTGCAAGGAAGTGTGGCCTATGTGGAAAGTGCTGCTGAGGTTTGGAATGACTTACATGAACGCTTCTCACAAGGAAATGCATCTCGGGTACATGAATTAAAACTCGAACTTGCAACTACCACACAACAGTCAAGATCAGTAATAGCATATTTCACAAAATTGAAGCCTATATGGGATGAACTACAAGCAAATGAGCCAGTGCCGACATGCACTTGTGGTTGTACATGTGGTGCAGCAAAGGAGTATATGAAGGCACGAGAAACAGAGAAAGTCCACCAATTTCTCATGGGACTGAATGAGAATTTTTCGACTGTTCAATCACAGATCTTAAGCACAGAACCTCTCCCATCACTGAATAAGGTGTATGCAATGACTACCAAAGAAGAGAAGCAACAAGCGGTGGCTGCATCTAGAAGTCCAATTATAGAAGCAACAGCCTTGGCAGCAAAGATGAATCACACTGGGAAATCTTCCATGTCAGGGAAGCCACGCTGTGATCATTGCAAGAAGGTTGGTCATACTAAAGAGAGATGCTATGAAATCATTGGATACCCA